TGTAGGCACAATCTCCATAAAAATGTGATTTATAAGACACATATATATATAAATATGAACTAAATATTTTAATAAGAAGAGTATCTGTTTAAAATTGATAATAATACTACTACAGCCTTCTTCCTATAATAAAATAGCATAAAAGTTATTATTAAATTATTATTATTATATATTATAATTATTAATAAATTATTATAAAATTATTATATAAAAGTATAATAATAATAGTTCGCCTAAAATCACATTATTAGAAATTTTTGTGAAAATGTGAAATTGATTAAAAATGGTCATTTTTCCATAATCTTGTAATCGGGCATTTCCAATCAATATGAACATTCTCAATTACTTCGATTGAAATTTTCGAAATCAGTCTCCCCGAGAACACGTTCCACGAACGTCGACGAGAATCATGGTATTCCGAGCATCAAGCAAACAAATTTGTTAATGTGGTCCGCCGTTAAGATACTGAAAGTTGATTAGAGGTTTAAGGGGTCTGGTTTTGCACGACGACGTTGATTGGCGTCGTGCCGATTAGGATCGCCTGCAAATTCGCGGTACCTGATGCATCTGCTTCGGGTGTGAACAACATCGTCGCTACGAACTTCAACCTCATAGCGGTGCTGATCGAGTATATCTGACCTGTAATTGTTTAACGAACGTCTCCTCAAAAGTCGCTCTAATTAGATTCCACGGAGCACGGGTAGCCGCGTCGGACCGGAAGTCGTTCCCATAGACCCAGGCGTTATCAAAGCCCGAACTTCCGTGTCTTTATTAGTACCGAAGTGATTTTACGCCGTTTAATTAGCGCGGGGTGCATAGATTCGATGCGATTCGACCGAGACTTCGGAGCAAGCCGATTATTGCGGACAGAATTTCGAAACCTCTTCTAATTGTAATTTTGATTATTGTGCGGAATTCTAATTAGCGTTAACCCCTGGTGCTTAAAGATCAGCGATAGTACCTCCAGATTTTGCTTGCCAGATTATTTTGTAATTATAAATTTTGTTTGGTCTTCATTCCGATTACCAAGTGAAAAATTTTACTGTCGCATGGTTTGTAAAAGTTTTCACTTTCGATGCTATAATATCGATAATTAATTGTACCGTCGTTTCTATGTACAGTTGAAACGTGTCACTTGAATTAATTGCTCGATTTTCAACGTTAACAAATCGTTCGGGCAGAATTTATTTCGTTCCATTACGTTGTTGCAAGTAGCGAACTGTTTCTTTTCGGTCTAAAAATGAATTTCTTGGAATAATAAGAAAATTACTGAAAGAATAGTTTATTTTGTAAATTGTTTAAAAACCAGATTTAAGCGAACGAAACACATTCTGATGCGACATATCATTTCTAGTGCATCTCATTAAATAAAATAAATTCTACCGTAATTATTAAGAAACCAATGAATTATTTCAAGTGAAACATTTAAGTAATGCTTCCATAATGCTTCTCATTTATTTTGATTGCAGTAAATAATCGATTCACATTGTTTAAAATGTGAACATTATTACGACAAAGTTGATTAAATTTTCACATAATTGCCAATCCTTTCGAGAAATATAATGAGAATATAATGAGAAGTATTATCCATTTCCTGAAAATTGTAATTGAATGTCTTGTATTATCTTATAATTAAGAGAAATATCTTGTAAAGTGAAACATATCAATGAATACTTCTCTATGCTAGAAATATTTAAAACAATATTTGCTAAAAAGAGTGAATTTATCAGTTAATAAAAGAATCAAATCAACATAAATATCGACGAATAACGTCGTACTAATTTTAATTGCGAAACCTTGACATAAATGGAACTACGGAATCTGTGAATAGGGAAAGAACCTTACCTTGCCAGTAGCAATTTCCGGGCGCTCCGATGAAGAGCCTCTCACCGTTCTGAAACAAATAGAGAAAGGTGTGCTATTAAGGAAATTAGTCGATGTCAAATAACTAACGGCGTAAAGCACTTTAGATGGCTCTGTCTTTATCAGGGGAATTTATTTAACTTTCCCTGTGATACTCGGCGCAAGTAACACACCAATTCAGGACGAATGAAATTGTCTGCAATTTGATGAACACAAATAAAACTGTCTGGTATAATTACTTAGAATGTTAGCCAATCGCTTCATGATACAAAGTGAATGTTCCAATTTTAATTCGAAGAAATTATTCGGAGTTACTTCTTGCTTAATTAATTGATGGAAATGAACATTGATTTGTTTTATTAAAAGCATAATGACATAGTAGAGAATTGTTTAATTTTTTAACAGTTATAGTAACATTTAAAAATTCTTAGCTTGTTTTATGTGTGCTTTATTATTAAATAATAAAGCATTTTCT